CGTACCACAAAAAAAAAAAAAAAAAAAAAAAAAAGATGCATATTTATCTTTATGCATACATTATATACACTTACTACTATACTATTGTATTGAATGACAAAACATGCACAAGCTGTAAAACACTCAGAATCACTGAGCCAGGTGCTCTAATCTGCTCTTCAATCCCGTTGATCACCTTGGTGGAGGCTGCGCTGCTGGGGCCTGGCCTCGGGTGGGGCTGCCGGGGAGTTGCGCCCGGGAGGCCCCATTCAAGGAGATGTAGTTAGGGGGATGCCAGCCTCAGGGGTGGTCAAAGGCCCCATCGCCCCGTTGGAAGATCCGCTCAGGGAGTTTCTCCTGCCTCCTCGCCCCTGCTTCCTCAGGGATGGGCTGAAGGTGGTTGGAGTACCTCCTGCTCCTGGGCTTTACCTTAGAGACCCCCGCCCTGCCCCCACCCCACACCCCGCCTCCTGATCACTGTTCTGTCCCCAGAGCCTCCAGCCATCACCCCCGGCCCCTCCAACCTGACCCTGACTGCTGACACCGCCGCCTCACTGCCCTGTGAGGCCAGAGGCTCACCCAAGCCCCTTGTGGTCTGGTGGAAGGATGGACAGAAGCTGGACTTCCGCCTGCAGCAGGGAGCCTACCGGTACTGAGCTGGTCCTTCTGGGAACGTCATGAGATGCCTGGGGTGGGGAAGGGCGTGCCCGTCTCAGAGAAGGGGAGCCAGGCCAGAACCGAGGCAGGGGCGCACTCGGGTCTCACCAAAGCCAGCATCAGAACTTGTGTCCTGACTTCAAGGGGCCAGGAGGATCTTTACACTAAGATACCTGGTCATAGGTGGGGGCATTTGGGACATACAGCCAAATGGAAAATATATGGCCTTTGCAACCACTTTAGTCACTATTTAAGACCCCACGTAGAAGCCCCAGTTCATGCTGGTTGAGCCTGGACCCATGGCTCCTGCAGGAGCCTCGGTCTCCCCATTTCTCAAATGCAGCTGACCCTGAAATGATCCCTGGGAGTATTAAGAGGTCAGTTCATCAATTAATTCACCAAATATTTGTTGTGTTAGGTGCCAGATCATCGTGGAGCTTTGTGACTAAGCAGGTGTTCAGTGAACACAAGCAGTTCTGATCAGGGCTTTGGATATGGTTACTATTACAGAAGTTATCATAGGTGGTGACTGTAGAAAATTTTTAGGATTATGGAGAAACCCAGAGGCAAACATTAAAATTGCCCACAAACTGAACAGGTAGACCTTGGGAGGTAGAAAATTCTAAGAAAAACTCCTAGAGTCGAGGCTGGGGGCCGGTTACAGGAAGAAAAAATAGTCATGAAACACATCCCTCGCCTCCAAATTCCCCGGGTAGGGAGGCCACGGCTGGCTGGTTTCAGGTCAGCCCGGCCAGTCACTTAGCAGACAACCGTCCGTCTGTCTGTGCAGGCTCCTGCCCTCCAACGCCTTGCTCCTCACAGCCCCCAGCCCTCAGGATTCAGCCCAGTTTGAGTGTGTGGCAAGCAATGAACTGGGCGAGGCCCACAGGCTCTACTGGGTGATGGTTCACGGTGAGTTCACGGTCAGGACTGACTGTTCACAGCGAGGGCAGATGAGGAAGCCGGGATGGGGACAGTGCCTCCCTCTCCTGGGCGCTCTCTCTGCCTCCAGGGACCTGCACGGGTTCCCTCTGAGCCTTTCTGTGCTCCCCGGGTCACCGCTTCCAGGAAGCCCTCTCTGATCCTGCCCTCCCACACTGACATAACCCAACTCCAGCACAGTTCCTGGCCTGTGGGAGCTCGTAGGCGAGGCCTCTCCCAAGTCCAGAATGTTCTGAACCCAAATCTGACTTTGTCGTCACCCCAGTTAAAATCCCTCCCACCATGGCTTTCCACCGCCCTCAGGATAGAATGCATGGTGTCACCCGGGCCCAGAAGGTCAGCCCTGCTGACCCCCCAGGTTCAGCTCACCCCATGGTCTGCCTCACTCTGGGTTGCATTCATCCCTATCAGCTTTTTGTTCCTTACCTCGGGGCCTTTGCACATACTGTTCCCTCTGCTGAACACTCTTCCCTTCACCCAGGCAATATCTGCTCTTCCTTCAGATCTCAGGTTAAATGCCGCATGCCCCAGAGACCTTCTCTGGCCTCCCTCACTCTGTGCCCCCACCAAGCCCCCTTGTCTTGTGAAACACTCCCTGAGATACCTGGCTGGTATCTATAGAAAGCAGTTCATAACTCTCCCACACGCCCAGCAAAACACATCTGAGTGAGGAAATGTGACTGCTGCACCTCCCTCCCTGGAGCTTCGTCACTGATGTCACCTTGTGTCTTAGTCTGTTTATCCTTCTCGTCCACCTGGCCCCGTGGCTGTGTGTTCCCCAGGAGACCTCAGCAGGGCCTCAAGCCTTGCCTTGCGTTTCAGTGCCTCCCACCATTGCCGACGACCAGACAGACTTCACTGTGACCATGATGGCGCCTGTGGTCCTCACGTGCCACAGCACAGGGGTGCCAGCCCCAGTTGTGTCCTGGAGCAAAGCAGGCACCCAGCTGGGGTTGCGGGGGAACGGCTACCGTGTGTCACCTTCGGGTAAGTAAGGGTGAGCCACGTGGACCTGCTGCTGAGGGGACACTAAGGGGCATTGGGCAGAGGCTGTGAAAGCAGCCCGCTGGGCCCTGGTGGTTGAGAAGATGGAAAGTTCTGGCCTGGCTCTGCCATTCCCTCACTGTGTGACCTGGGAGAACCCCCTCGCGCTCCCCCCCCAGGCCTCAGTATCCCCATCCACGCACTAGAGTATTGATATCCATCAGTCAGTCCCTGATGCTAGTTGGTAAATTGGTGCTCCTTATGGCAGAATGAGAACAATAATAGCTACGTGAGAGTTTTCATAAAGCTAGTTTTAGCTCATTAGAAGGATTGTTCTTTATTCTGAAATAATGCTTTTCTTAATAATTTGGTGTTGAACGTGCCTTTCTTTTATGAAATTAAGGTGATAGTACATGGTAATTTTTTAAGTGTCTTTGCTTGTTAAAATAAAAAGCTGGCAACTTTATGGGGATTCTCTAAATTAAATGTATTTTTTAGTTGGTTGGTTAGTGAAATCCTAAAGTCTGTGAACCACTGGCCGGATCTGTGGTTTTCAAACTCTTCCAAAGCAATAGAACACTTCCTTCTGACAAGTGGTTACGGGGAAGCCCAACACGTGAGAGAAGCTAGGTTCTGGTTCCATCTGAGGCTGGGATGGGGGCTGTGGGGTGGTCCAGAGTTAGGTGGGCCTCGCTCCCTTTGCCCCCTCAGCAGGCCCTCAGGGGTCCACGGGGGATGGTTTAGAAACCACCTTACCTGACTTGCAGCCTGTGGTCTGGGAAGGTTAAAATGGTATTCATTGAGCAGCCAAGGCTGAGGGAGACAGGGCAAAGGGAGGACAGAGGAGGCAGCAATCCGGGGAGGCTTCCTGGAAGAGGCAAGTTTTGAGCAGAGTGCAGCAAGGATAGCAGGGTGAGGGCCCGTGGAAGCAGGCGCGGGCGGTCCAGGGATTCCAGGCCGGGCAGTGGCAGATCCTGGCACATCACAGCCAGAAGGGTCTAGAGATCATCCTGTCTGATTGTTCATTGTACACCTGGCCCAGAGACTAGAAGTACCAGAGAGCAGACGGGATTTGCCTACGGTAATGGTCTGAGCAGGGAGCAGAGGCAGGCCCAGGTTCCCCCGTGCTGCTTACAAATGGGCAGGGAGGCAGATTGAGTGGCCTGTAACAGAGACACCAGGGTTGGGTGTGTAAGAGCCCTGCCGGCTCCACCCCTGGGACATCTGTCCCAGGCCCCCTCACCCCTCTCTGTGCCCTGTTCCCGTCCACAGGTGCCCTGGAGATCAGGCAGGCCCTCCCCATCCATGCCAGCCGATACACCTGCACGGCCCGCAGCTCCGCGGGCGTGGCCCACAAGCATGTGGTCCTCACCGTGCAAGGTAAGCGTCCCCGAGGCCAGACAGCCGTGGCTCTTGGGGCAGGGAAGCTGGCGGAGGGCTAGAGGATTCTTTGGGAGAAAAGAAATAGCCCACCTGTGTCCTCTTTTCCGACGTTTCCGGAACCCCTTGTTCCCTTTAGCAGCCTCTCTCTTCGGTGCTCAGACGGCCCCTGGTTGGAGAGGCCTGGGTGTTAACGGTGTCCCCAGGGACCTCTGCAGCCCTGTTCCTTTGCAGCCTCCCCCGTGGTAAAGCCACTACCCAGTGTGGTCTGGGCGGTGGCAGAGGAGGAGGTGCTGCTGCCCTGCGAGGCCTCGGGCATCCCCCGGCCGAGCATCACCTGGCAGAAGGAGGGGCTCAGCGTTCCTGCAGGTGAGTCTCCTTGGCAGACAGCATGGGTGGGAGGAAGACAGTATGAACCTGTGGTCCTCCTTCCTGCCCCTGCTTCACCTCCTGACCTCCCGTCTCCCCTCACCACCCCAGAGCCCTTGATTCTGCCTGAGCACTCGGTGGCTGGGTTGGGAGGTTGGGTCCGGCTTCCGTGCTCGCTCTGCCCCCTCGTCACCCTGTGGCCACAGCAGGTCACTTGTCCGGTCAGACAGAACAGCCCAAGCAGCCTTCCTGCCCTCCTCGGGGATCCTGTCGCCCCAGCGACCGGCCCCCAATTCCTTCCCACCAAATCCAGGGGTGAGGACCCAGGTCCTAACCAGTGGACAGCTGCGGATTATCCATGTCAGCCCAGAGGATGCTGGGAACTATTTCTGCATCGCCCAGAACAGCGCAGGCAGTGCCCTGGGGAAGACTCGGCTGGTGGTGCAAGGTGGGCCCCGGGGGTGTGGGTGGGTCTGAAGTGGACCCCAGTGAGCTAGGGGCTTTGAGGCTCCTGAGAGCCCCTCCCTTCTCTGCCCAGCCCTGGTCCCGGGCGGGGCATGTCCCCACGTCCACCCCTACTCCAGCACAGCTTGTGGTTCTAGAAGGAATTCAAGAAAAAAACGGCTCCCATTTTGCACCCAAGGTCTGGCTTCAGACGGTAACTCCAGAGTCCCCTCTGCCTCCTCCGGCCCCTCCTGGGAAACTAGTCTGGTCATTCTTCTTTCATTTTGGCTTTCCAGTAGCAACAGCCATTTCTGTCCCTGTGGGTGAATGGGTCACTCTGTCACAGCTTCTTTACCAAACTCCAGAGAGTCCCCAGGTTATCCAGACCACGGGGCCTATGACCAGGGGCCGGTGGGGGCAGCAGACAGGGATGGAGGAAGGGGCTGAGGGTGTGTCAAGTGCCAAGGGCGCTGGGCCAGGGGTGGCCCACCCCAGCCCACCCCAGCCCGGCCCAGTCACCGAGGGGACCTCCCTATGCCCACAGTCCCGCCTGTGATCGAGACTGGCCTTCCCGACCTGTCCACCACCGAAGGCTCCCACGTTCTCTTGCCCTGCACGGCCAGCGGCAGTCCTGAGCCCGACATCACCTGGGAAAAGGACGGCCAGCCTGTGTCTGGAGCTGAGGGGAAGTTCACCATCCAGCCTTCCGGGGAGCTGCTGGTGAAGAACTCAGAGGTGAGGGCGTGGCCCCAGGGAGCAGAGGGGAATAATAGTAACAGCAGGAGCAGCAAACACCTGCTGAGCACCCCCCTGTGTGTCATGCTCTGTGCTGAATGCTGTGCAGTTTCTTAATCCTGGAACCTGGGGAAGCAGGTGTTATCACCTTAGCTACAGATGAGGAAACCGAGGTTCAGAGTGTACCCAGGTTTTGAAGACATGCTATTGCCAAGAGGCAGAACCAAGATTTGAATCAGGACCTCTACGGCTAGTCCCTGGGGGAGGGAAGGAGCCCTGGAAGAGAGGGAGGGGGGAGCGTGGCGATGACTTTGTGTCCCCAAACTGCCTCAAATGTTCTCAACCTGAGCTACAGGTGTGGGTGGGACCCCGGCTCCCTTCTCCCATCAGTACTCATCATGTTCTGTAATTACAAAAGAAGTCGCTGTCCAGATGGATGGGTGGCTGCTGGGTGGGCACAACTCTAGGGGGCCATGGGGGTGGGGATCCTGCCACACAGGGAGCCAGATGTGCAGTGGTGAGTGCACCAGCCCTGCTGGGATGCACCACAGAACTTCTCCTCTCGGAGAAGGCACCGAAAGCAGGGCCCGCCTCAGGGATGATGGATGAGGTGAGCACAGGTGAGCGGAGTGCAGGTTCCGTTCTGAGCACATAGGAGGTGCTTAGTAAATGGTGACTGTTACAAACGTGTGGCCAGGCTTAGATTATGAAGGCTGAAAATTCAATTAACAATCAAATTAAGAAGGAAAAAAAGGGAATTTTTTGGAGCCAAACTGAGGATTATAACCGGGGAGACCTGTTAGAAGTAAAGGCACGGTCACATACATTTTCAAGACGAAGAATCATACATCAGAATGACATACTCGTATTTTACATAAAGTTCACCAAAGACACATAGTCCGGGTAAGCAGGTACAAAGTGAAACAGCGAGTCACCATGACCCCTTACAGAGCTGGGAAGGAATGCTATTCTTTTAAGAAGTTACATTGCTAGCGTCAGAAGAAAGGAAAAGAAAAAGATCTTTACAGCTGAGCAGGCACACCCATCCTTGAGGAGCTCTGGTTAATGTGTAATGCAGATACACACCGCACATTAGGGATGGAAGGAGGAGGCCCAAAAAGACAGAGAATTTTATGTTTAATTTTTCTTGTCCTGCCTTAAAATATGAATTGTATTTCATCAATGCGCATAGCCATATGAAGGCTGCAGGGAGGTGCAGTGGTGAAGCCGAGCTGTTTGCTAGCTGTGTGACCTTGGGCAAGTCACTTTGCCTCTCTGGGCTGGATGGTCCATGGGAACCTGCCAGGGAGCAGGTCCCCGGGGGCATTCTGGCCCACGTTGGGGTGGGGGCAGTTCTCAGGCTGACCCCTCCCTTTGCCCACAGAGCCAGGACGCTGGCACCTACACTTGCACTGCCGAGAATGCCGTGGGCCGTGCCCGCCGCCGCATGCGCCTCGCCATCTTGGCACCGCCTGTCTTCACCAGCCTGCCTGGGGACCGCAGCCTGAACCTTGGGGACAGGCTGTGGCTTCACTGTGCGGCCCGTGGCAGCCCTACACCCCGAATAGGCTGGACTGTCAACAACCAGCCAGTCACAGGTCTGGGCCTGCTGGGGGCAGGTGGGACAGAGACCCAGGACCCTGGGAGGTTGAAGAGGGTGGGTGGGCGGGGGTGACCCAACCCGGTGAAGAGGAAGATGGTGCCAGTCAGCCTGTGGGTTCTGGGTCTCCAGACTTGGCCCTGCGTTGGGGCACAGGGCAAACACACATGTGGCCCTAGGTGACCAGTCACATGTCAGACCCAGCAAGAAGCCACCTGTGAAAAAGACTCAACCCTGGAGACCTCAGGGCCAGGAGAGGGGCCTGTGCTCCAGCCTAGCGCTGCTGCCCCCACTGTGGGCCCCTCAACACACTCCATTCATGGGGGGCTCGCTCCTCTCACCTGGGTCCCCAGTGACGTTTAGGGAGATCCAAGGCCTGCACGGGCCTGTGGTGTACATAGTAGGTACTCAATAAATGCCTGCCGAGTGGATGAATTGCTAAGTCTCCTCTGCTGCCAAGTGATGTCTTCATATCCCCCTATACCCAAGTCCAGGTGCTGGGACACGTGCGGCTCACCTTTGTGCACCTGTGCAGAAGGCTTTGCCTCAACCTCACTGCCTCCTGGGCGGAGAGATCAGGAGAGAGATTCAGCCTCTCTGAGCCCAGCTCTTCATCTTGAAATAGGGATAACAGGGGTCCTGAGGGTGGAATGATTTAATGCAGGAGGCTCGCTTGGCAGGGCCTCGCCCAAGTAAATGCCCCATCTGTGTAGCACTTGTCCTTATTCCTGGTGTAGGGGCACTGTCTAAGGATTACAGGGAAAACAAAGGCTGTTAATAGCATCCATCTAGGGACTTCCCTAGAGGTCCAGTGGTTAAGACTCTGTGCTTCCGCTGCAGGGGGCATGGGTTCGATTCCTGGTCAGGGAAATAAGATCCCACATGCGGTGTGGTACAACACCCCCCAAAAAATTAATTAAAAACATAGCATCCATCTATATGTAACTCGTGACAATATCTCTATAAGTGCCACTTTGAAGACCTACCCTTGGCCACTCATCATATGCGCGGTGTGGACTTGAAAATGAGAAAAGGCAGGTCTTCAACCTCATCCTCATCATCTGATCCTGTGCCTGCCACGATAGCATCCCACTTGCTTAGGCTTCCAGCAGGGAGGGGACGCTTTGTGCCTGTATGAATCACCTGTTGGATACTGAGGCCTGAGTTAAGTGTTCGGGGCAGGAGGTCCCTGGCACCCTGAGCTCAGAGCCCCCTGGGGCATCTCTTTCTCTGCCACAGAGGGGGTGTCCGAGCAGGACGGGGGCAGCACACTGCAGCGGATGGCAGTCACCAGAGAGGACAGCGGGACCTACATCTGCTGGGCCGAGAACAGAGTGGACCGAGTGCAGGCGGTCAGCTTCGTCCACGTGAAGGGTAGGGAGTGACCACGTGGTCTTTCTCCAGACCTCTGCTGACCCAACCTAGTGGTTTTTCTAAGAAACTGGCCTCCTAACCTCTGAATTAGTACCTCTCCACCCTGGCTGGGCATTAGGATCTCCTGGGGGACTTTATAAAATACCAAGGCCCAGGTTCTAACCCCGACTCAGTAAAGGTGAGGCCTCGACATCAGTATTTTTTACCCTCCCCGGATGACCGGCTGTAGGTAGAACTGAGATCTGACTCATCAGCCTGAACCACTGCTCTCAGCTGGATGGTGTCAATGTGGGAGGGGGATGGGGGCCAAGGTACCCTGGCAAACAATGCGTGAATCTCGCCAGCCTGCCGGTTGCTCCCCACAGCCCTGCCCCCCACAGCCCTGCACAGTAACCCTCATGTCACTGTGACTTGCATGTCCAACTTTAGGATGGGAGGGTGGGGCTCGATGAAGGGCAATGAGCCGCCCAAGGCACCAGGATTCAACTGTACTGTTGGTAGATTCAACCTCAGGAAACCGGCAGGGATGAAAACCAGCGCAGGGCATCCAAGAGTGGTTTAAGAGTTGCATGAAATGAGAATCAGGGATGTCTTAGTGTTGCTATGTCCAACAGAGGTGTCCTAATGATTGTGTAGTCCTTGTTTTCCAAAGTACCCTGCCGCTGGGCTAATCCATCTCTGAGTGTGAGTGTATGACACTCATACACTTTCTCCCCTCCTGTGCCTGTCTCAGGCATCACTAATCAATCATAGCACTATTCCCACTCAACTTCAAATCCTTCTCAGCACAGAGTTCCTGGCAGCCACTGCCAGTCTAGTTCACTTGACCTGCGACATGGAAGCTGTATGCCATCCCAGGTGTATTGACTCTACACAGCCGTGCTGAGCCAGCAGGAGCCTCCATAGGTTCCTGGGGTCTGTCTGGCAGGTTTTTGGGGATGGATTTATGGGAATTTTAGCCTGAAGGAAACCTCCTTTCTCACTCTTTGTCCACTGTCACCTTGTGCAGAGGCTCCTGTCCTACAAGGGGAGGCTTTTTCCTACCTGGTGGAACCCGTTGGGGGCAGCGTCCGGCTGGACTGTGTGGTCCGTGGAGACCCAGCACCCAACATCCACTGGATCAAAGATGGCCTTCTGCTGCAGGGCAGCCGGCTCCGGCACTGGCTGCAGAATGGCTCGTTGACCATCCGTAGGACCGAGGCAAGGCGGGGCCTGGGCTGGTGCCACCTGGGACAACCCTCCACTTTGTCTGATTATCCAAGACGGTGCTTTAAGTTGGCACCACCCTCTACAAAGCATTTTCCTGCCTGTACCCAGAGATCCTCACCTGACTAACTAGGGTGACCTCCAGCCAGTGGCTTAACTTCTCTGTGCCTCAATTACCTCATCCATTCAATGGGGCTAATAATTGTTCTACCTCATAGATTTATAGTGAGAAATCAGTGAGATGACCCACACCAGGTACTTAAGAGTGATTAGTCCCTCAGTAAAGCCAATATATGTTACTAATAACAACCCCATGGAGCAGAGTAAGCGGATAAGAGTGCCTCATTTTACAGATGAAGACACTGAGGGTCAGAGAGGCCCACAGCCAGTAAGCACCTGAGGCAGGACCCCAGCCCAGGTCTCCTGATTCCTACTCCACGCCATTTCCAAAGCCTTGAGCTCGGGGGCAGCCCTTGCTTACCTTCCCTTCTGTGTCCCAAGTCCCAGTGGTCCTGCAGAATTCCACAGTTCGATGATGTCAAGGACTCATCTTAGGGGTCCTTGATCTTGCCCATCTGGGAGCCTGTCTCAGACTGGTAAAGGCAGCAGCAGCAGCAGCAGCAGTAAGGGTGCCATGACCTGAGTATTTGCTGTGGACCAGGCACTGTGTCTCGCATTTAGGGAGCATGATTTCATTTGATGCTTACAACAATCTTGTCGGTTATTATCCCCGTTTTAGAGATGGGGAAACTGAGGCTCCAGAGACATGGTGAACAGTGGAGCCCGGATTCGGTCCCATCTTGGACTGATGCCCAAATCTATACTCTTAATTGCGTGCCGTGCTGCCCGCTGACAGTCCCTTGGGAGTGGCCTCCGGGATATTATCTTCTGGGCGTGGACAGTGGCTTCAGGCTGCCCCAGCTCCATCTCATGGTGGTGCTGCCACTGGAAGCGAATCTGAGCCAGCATTCTTCCTGAGTTGCATCACTGACATGGTCGTGGATATCCTGGGAAGAGACTTCCCTGTCACCAAGGCCAGGAAGTGCTGCAAACCCTCCCCCTCTGGAAGACTGGCAGTGTGCACTCGCACAATAAAAGCCCCAGGGAGCCTGCAGTGCTGAAACCTGTTCTTGTCTAACTCAGTGTTTCCCAGACTTGCTCAAACACAAAACCCTTTTGCTAAGGAATTCCTAATAATGTGCCATGGAGTCATAATACTTTAACGTACACAATTTGGAAGAGGTGGATCTAAATCATGCTTCTGCAGCATATAGCTCCCCTTAGAGCAATGGGTTGTCACCACCCCAAGTTCCAGGGGTGAAAGGGGCTGAATTCTCTTTGGATTCTATTGACAAGCAGCCATGGAAGCCCCTCTGGTGGAATCTGTGGGCCCCTGGCTGGTTTATGCTCTAAGCTCCTCCTGGTTAGATGGGTCTTGCTCCAGGTGCCCCTGTCTGTGCCCAACTGTCCCCAGATGCTCCCCGCCCTCTCGTCCTCCTCTCCTGAATGCCACGCCCCCGCTCCCATGCCCACCCACAGAAGGACGACGCGGGACAATACCAGTGCCTGGCGGAGAATGAGCTGGGCGCGGTGGAGAAAGTGGTGGTCCTTGTGCTGCAGAGTGAGTCTCAGCCCCACCTTTCCTGGGCCCTGGGTGGGGACCAGGTGAGGTGGGCACCCAGTGAGGTGGGCACCAAGGGGGCAGCTGTGCCGAGGCTGTGGCTGCCGCCGCCCAGGCTGTGTGATGGGAAAGGAGGGCCATTCTGAATATTTATTCAGAACACACAGTTGAAGTCCCATGAACTGTCTCCCCAATGTGGAATGGGAATTAGGGGCTGGTGAGTACTGGGGACCCAACAGCCAGGCCTGGGGGACCTGTTTATTCAGAACTCAAAACTGTCATTGAGATCATAGTGACAGTTCCTGTGTTTGCCAAGCAGGTTATAGCTAACAGTAAGTCTAAATAGAGATTTAAAAAAAAATTTATTGGAGTATCATTGATTTGCAATGTTGTTAGTTTCTGCCGTACAGCAAAGTGAATCAGTTATACATATATATCTATATATATATCTATCTATATATATATATATCTCCACTCTTTTTTAGATTCTATTCCCATATAGGTCATTACAAAGTATTGAGTTCCCTGTGCATAGTAGGTCCTTATTAGTTACCTATTTTATATATAGTAGTGTGTATATGTCAGTCCCAGTCTCCCAATTTATCCCTCCCCCGCCAGAATGAAATAATGCTATTTGCAGCAACATGGATGAACCCAGAGATTGTCATACTGAGTGAAGTAAGTTAGACAGAGAAAGACAAATATCATATGATATCGCTTATATGTAGAATCTAAAAAAACAATACAAATGAACTTATTTACAAAACAAGAATAAATAAGGATTTTTAATGAAACTTTTCATTGAAGATTAACACACAGGAGGAGGGTACATGTCACAAGAGTACAGCTCAATGAATTTTCATAACAGGAACCCACCCAGGTTACCTGCACCCAGATCCAAAAATAGAACAGTAACAGTTCCCAGACCCGCCTCCCCACATCATGCCCCCTTCCAGTCTCTACCCCGTCTCGAGGGAATCACCATCCAGAATTTTGCCTTTTTAAAAAATAGCTTTATTGAGACATAATTTACATACCATAAAATTCACCCATTCGTATTATTCACCCTTAAAAAAGAAGGAAACTCTGTCACATGCTACAACATGGATGAGCCTTGAGGACGTTATGTTAAGTGAAATTAGACAGTCACAAAAAGACAAATATTGTATAATTCTAATTGTATGAGGTCCCTAGAGTAGTCAAGTTCTCAGAGATGGGCAGCAGAATGCTGGTTGCCAGGGGCTGGGGAGAGGGGAATGGGAATTAGTGTTTAATGGATATAGTTTCAGTTTGGCAAGATGAAAAAGTTCTGGAGATAGATGGTGGTGATGATTGCACAACAATGCGAATACAGTTAACACTGCTGAACTGTACACTTAAAAATGAGTAAGATGGTAAATTTTATGTTATATGTTTTTTACCACAATTTTTAAGTGAAAAAATCCACCCATTATAAGTATACAGTTTGGTGATTCTTAGTAAACGTATAACATTGTACAACCCATTTTTAGAATATTTCCAAGTTCCCTCTGCCCATTCGTAGTCAATCTCCGTTCCCACCTCCAGCCCCAGGCAACTGCTGATCTGCCTTCTGTCCCTATAGATGTACCTTTTCTGGTAATTTCACATACGTGGAATCATACGCAGTTTTTGGTTCCAACTTCTTTCACTTACCGATGTTTTGGGGGTTCATCCATGTTATAGCGTATGTCAGTACATCATTCCCTTTTATTGCTCAATAGTATTCCATTGTCTGGATTGACCACATTATGTTTATCCATTCCCCAGTCACTAGACATTTAGATTGTTTCTAGTTTTTGGCTCTTGTGGATAATGCTGCTGTGAACATCTGTGTATACGTCTTTGTTCTTTCTCTTGAGATTCCTGGGAGTCTAATTGCTGGGTGACCTGATCAATGTATAGGTCACGTTTTAAGAAATCACCAAACTAGCTGTACAGTTTTACTTTCCTTCCAGTAGTGTATGAGGTTTTGGTTTCTCCACATCCTTGCCAACACTTGGTAATGTCAGTCTTTTAAATTTTAGCCATCCTTGTGGTTACAAAGTAGTATCTCACTGTGGTTTTAATTTGCATTTCCCTAATAACTAATGATATTGAGCATCTTTTCACGTGTTTATTACTCTTTCATATGACTTCTTTGGCTAAGTACCTATTTAGGTCTTTTGCTCATTTTTAAATTGGATTGTCTTATTAATGAGTTCTAAGAGTCGTTTACATAGTCTGGATACAAGTCCTTTATCAGATAGATGATTTGCAAATATTTTCTCCCAGTCTGTGGCCTGTATTTGCATTTCCTGTATTTTGCCTTTGAAGAGCAAAAGTGTTAAAATTTGGTGAAGTCCAATAGTATTTTATGGATTGTGTTATATTTTTAAAATCTTTGTTTAACCTAAGGTCACATTGTCTTCTGTAATTTGTACAATTTTTGTTCTTATATTTAGGCCAAATCCATTTGAGTTAATGTTTGTGTGAGATAAGGGTCTAAATTCCTCTTTTTATCTTTTTCTTTTGGCATATGGATATCCAGTTGTTCTATACCATTTATTTAGATCTTTTCCATCTCTCTCAGTGATATTTTGTAGTTTTCGGGGTACAAGTCTTGTACTTTTGTTAAGTTGATTACTAAGTATTGCATGATTTTTGACGCTACTGCAAGTGGAATTCTCTTAGTTTGATTTTTTTGGATTTTTCATTGCTAATATATAGAAATACAATTGATTTTTTTTTTTTAATTAATTAATTTACTTTTGGCTGTGTTGGGTCTTCGTTGCTGTGTGCAGGCTTAGTTGAGATGAGCCGGTGCACGGGCTTCTCACTGCGGTGGCCTCTCTTGTTGCGGAGCACGGGCTCTAGGTACATGGGCTTCAGTAGTTGTGGCGCACGCGCTTAGTTGCTCCGCGGCACGTGGGATCTTCCCGGACCAGGGATCGAACCCGTGTCCCCTGCATTGGCAGGCGGACTCCCAACCACTGCGCCACCAGGGAAGCCCACAATTGATTTTCGTTATCTCGATCTTAAGTCCTGCAACCTTGCTAAATTAGTATTTAGTCCTAGTAATTTTTTTTTGGCAGATTCCGTAGGATTTTCTACATGTCTTCTATGAGTAGAGAGGTTTTACCCCTTCCTTTCCCCTCTGGATACCTTTAATTTCTCTATGTTGCCTATGGCATTGATTAGACCCTCTGACACAAGGTTGAATAGGAATGGCCAGAGCAGGCAGTCTTGCCTTGTTGCCAGCTTAATGAGGAGAGCACTCCGTCTTGCACTACTGAGTACGATGTCAGCTGTGGGTTTTTACAGATGCCCTTTATCAGGCTGAGCAAGTCCCCTTTCATACCTAGTTTGTTGAGAGTTTTTGTCGTGCATGGGGGTGAGGGAGGGACGTTTCTGGTTGCAGACAAGATGGAACTAGAGGCACTCCTGCTTATTCCTCTTGCTAAGGACACAGCTTAAAAACTCTAGACTTTATATAGAAAACAAACACTGAAAGACTCTGAAAGGTAGAGAAAAGAAGGATGGGCCAAGGATCTTGGGACCTATGGGATGATATGGCAGCAAAATCCCTAGTTTTTCTTTCTGCCTCATATATCCTGGGCAGGATGCTTGAGAAGCCAGCAACCTGGAAATACCAATGGGCTCAGACAAAAACAAAAAACAAAAAGAACGAGGGCTCCCCAAAAGTCTGCTCTCTCTTGCTAAAGGACCAGAAAAAGGACAGCATATCAAGCTAGAAAACTTAGGTAATAACACCCTATTCCAGCCAAACACTATGAAAAACTGCAGCCTTACCCTAAACCCCATCAACAAAGACCAAGTGGGAAACCTACACTTCTGCCTTTTCCTTGCCGTCCCGAGGCACCCCTCTCCCCACACTGCGGGGTGGGCAGGGGGTAATGGTATCAGATGAGGCCAAGTGGGGGCAATAACCCTCCCCACCAGGTCTGATATCCGTGGAGGCCTAGTGTGAACTCTGAACTCTGTGTCTGCCCAGCAATGGTAAAGCACCCCTTCTCGTTCTGGGGTGTCAGTGGAGGCCAGCTGGGGAAGCGGGGTTTCTACCTTCACCTGGAAATAATGAGGCCACACCTCCTTCCCGTGGCAGCGTCAGAGGCAGCCTGTTAAAACGAAAGAGCTAGAACTAGAGTCTTTCAACTCAGAATGTTCTTGAAACTCATTCCTCATACCAAGAACAAGGAAAATCTCAACTCAACAAGGACTTTAAAGTGGCCGTGAGCAGCTGTGAACATGCTGAAATGTGAAAAAGTAAAAGATCTCAGCAAGGAAACTGATATAAAGAAGAACCAAATTAGCACTAAATTTATAATAAGCAAAATTAAAAACTCAGTGGTTGGGTGTAATACTACAAAGAGGACAGAGGAAAGAATTAGCAAATTTGAAGATGTAACAGTAGAATTTAACTAGTCTGAACAACAGAGAGAAAATAGACGGGGGGAAAAAATGAACAGGGCCTCAGCGATCTGTGGGACTACCCCCAAAAGATCTCACATTCATTCATTAGAGCCTCAGAAGGAAAGGAGAAAGGCAGGTGAGAAGTAACCAAAGAAACAAGAGCTGAAATTCCCCAAAATTTCACCAGATACATAAACCTACAAATTCAAGGAGCTGAGGAAAACTCTAACAGGATAAACTCAAAGATGTCTGCACTGAGACACATCGCTATCAAACTTCTAAAAATTAAAGGCAAACTTCTGAAAATTAAAATAAAACTCCCATCTTCCATCAATGAAGCGGAGCATGGTTGTGGAGTAATTCAAAGTTCAGGCAATTTTGGGGGGTCAGGAAAGACCTCTTTTTATTTATTTATTTATTTATTTTGCGGTACGCGGGCCTCTCACTGTTGTGGCCTCTCCCGTTGCGGAGCACAGGCTCCGGACGCGCAGGCTCAGCGGCCATGGCTCACGGGCCCAGCCGCTCCACGGCATGTGGGATCCTCCCGGACCGGGACACGAACCCGTGTCCCCTGCATCGGCAGGCGGACTCTCAACCACTGCGCCCCCAGGGAAGCCCCGCAATCAGTCATTTTTAAATTAAGATATATAGGTTGTATTTTTAGACATAATGTTATTGCACACGTAATAGACTACAGTATAAACATACTTTTTATATGCTCTAGGAAACCAAAAAATTCATGTGATTCACTCTATTGTGATATTTGCTCTATTGCAGAGGTCTGGAACTGAACGCGCAGTATTTCCAAGGTATGCCTGTATACAAAAATAATAAGATGTTTCTAAAAGCTGCCCTGGGCCTCCCACAGGTGCCCCGGTGTTCCAGGTGAAGCCCCAAGACGTGACAGTGAGATCTGGGGATGCCGCGGCCCTGCGGTGCCAGGCCTCTGGAGAGCCGGTGCCCACAGTGGAGTGGCTGCGAGCGGGCCAGCCCTTGCGGACCAGCCGGCGGCTCAGGACCCTAACGGATGGGAGCCTGTGGCTGGAGCGAGTGGAGGCTGGGGATGCGGGCACATATGAGTGCGT